AAACTCATTCCACCTGCTTGCACTTGGCCCATATCCCTCCAAACCTTTCCTATCTAAATGTCTGTTAAATGTTGTAATTGTACCTGCATTCACCGCTTCCTCTGACAGTTCAGTCTACACAGGAACCATTCTCTGTGTTAAAAAGTTGCCCCTCATGTCCTTTTTGAATCTTTCTCCTCTCACTTTAAAAATATGCTCCCTAGTTTTGAAATCCTCCATCAAAGGGAAAAGACCCTTGTTATTTATCTTATCTACACCCTTCATGATTTTATAAAACTCAGTAAGGCCACCCCTCAGCATCCTATGCTCCAGTGAAAGAAGTCCCAGCTTTTCCAGCCTATTTTTATATCTCAAACCCTTTGTTCCTGGCGACACCTTGGTAAGTCTTTTCCGAACCCTCTCCAATTTAATAATATCCTTCTTATAGCAGACAACCAGAACTGTACACAGTACCCCAGAAGAAGCCTCACCAATATACTGTACAAACTCAACGCAACGTCCCAACTCCTATACTCAAAGGTCTGAGCAATGAGGGCAAGCATGCTAAATGCCTCCTTAACCACCCTGCCTACTTGTGACACAAATTTCAAAGAGTTATCTACCTGAACCCTTAGGTCTCTCTGTTCTACAACACCACCTAGATCCCTATGATGAATTGCATAAGCCCTGTCCAAAATGTAGTACATTTATCCACTCCTCAGCTCAATTGATCAAGATCCATTTGTAATCTTAGATAATATTCTTCACTGTCCACTATACCACTAATTTTGGTGTCATCTGTGAGCTTACTAACCAGACCTCCAATAGTCATACGTAGACCAGTCTGGGTAAGGATGATCAATTTCTTTCACTTAAGGGTCTTTGTGAATCAACTGGTTTTTTAATGACAATCAACAATGGTTTCCATTAGACTAGCATTATTTATTATGATACATTATTTTACTGAATTCAAATTTCAACATCTGCCATAATCTGAGTCAAACTCATGTTCCCAGAGCATTGGGCTTCTGTATTACTATTCCAAGAGGTACAGATGTACCTATTTTCTCTATTTTCAGCTCACCTATTTTCTCAGCTTAGATTTGATTATCACTTATTCAGCTTTTCTTCTGTCCTGGCCAGCTATCCTTAAACTCCTTGTTTGCCTGTCCCCTTCATATCTTTCTCTCTCTCTCTGGGCTCTATCTCTACCTTTCTACTCGCCTGTCCTTTTCACCACCACCTCTTCCACCCCCCACCTTGGCTTCAGCATAAATACCATTTTTTCTGATGAAGAGTCACTGAACTTGAAACTTTAACTCTGCTTTATTCCCACAGCTCCTGCCAGACTTGCTGAGTTTCTCCAGGAATTTCTGTTTTTGTTTCACATCTCCAGCATCCGTGGTTCTATGTTTTATTTAATCCTATTGGTTTTCTCAGCACTTTCTCTGTAATGATCAAGATCCTCCCTCCCTTCAGTTCCTGGTCATGACAATAATGTCAATTCAATACTTCAGGGCTCAGGAGTATTGAAAATCAACACTTCTTCGCTCAGATCATCTGAAGGACAAATACAATGAATTCAAAAAACAGAGATAGTAGGAACTGCAGATGCTGGAGAATCTGAGATAACAAGGTGTAGAGCTGGATGAACACAGCAGGCCAAGCAGCATCAGAGGAGCAGGAAAGCTGACGTTTCGGGTCGAGACCCTTCTTCAGAAAATTCAAAAACCACTTGGGTTATAACACCTTACTTGTCTGATTGTTTCTTTTAATTTGTCTTACCTTTTCTTTACACTGTAAATTAATGCTCTATCTTTCCCTCGCTTTATTTCTCTACCTGACTTTTTTTTTCTGTCATTCTCTTTGTTTCCTTCCTTGCCTTCTGCTTCATTGACTAAAGAGAGCAATCATCGAATATGACCATCACAAGATCTCAGATGCAACATTGACATTGTTGTATTGTTGTCAACTCACATTTCCAGTAATCAGCAGCATACTATCTGGAGGTCAAAGTAAAAATACAAGTCGTGCCACTTACTGCCAAAAGAGAGATTGGTAGAAACCCCAGAGAAGCATCATGAGAGTTTGAAGGTGGCCAGTTACTCACCTTCCTGGAGGCTTTGCTTTTGCTCGGTCTTAACTCTAGCATTAGGAATCCCTATAGAATTTCCAGGGCCTGGAGTAGTTTGCGCATTCTTTATATGACAACGTTTCAAAACCTACACGTTTTTGGAAATTCAAAGCTAGCCATTGAAGCTGGGGCTTGCCTAACCGACGGAGAAAGAGAAGAAAGCGAAAAGACGTGAAGGAGGAAAATGGAGAGTAGGGAAGCTTGAAAGTACGTAAAAAGTGGAGTATGCATTTCAGCAAAAAAGAAGAGTGGAATAGTAGGCGAAGGAAGCACTGAGTCCATCTATAATTGAGTGAAATATGTTTGGGAGAGAAATGTGTAGGTGTATATAAAACACAGGGTGTTGATGGAAGTGAGGAAAGAAATTTAGTCTGAATAGCTTTGTGTGTGGCTTTGTCTGTGTGGATATGTGCGTGTGTGTGCAAATAGCTAAGGAAAATGTAAGCAATTTTTCTTAATAAGAACTTCTGGACAATTTATGATCCAAACAGTACAGACTCTGGCTTGATTTTATAATATTCATATTGTTCTGAAGATTGCATTTTAAAAAGAAAAATATACTGAAGAAATGATTCCCACATCAACTGCAGTTTGTGTATTTCATTTAAGAGGGATAATAAAACAAACACAAGCAGTTTAAGCATGAGAGACAAGTACATTTGCAATAATGGATCTCAGATTAAATAACATATTGCAATGAAACATCTGTTTTATCACCTTGTGTATCCAAGTATGTGTGACATTCTGAATGAGCAAATCCTGATGATCTTTCTTTAAATTAAAAGTTTCAATTGTTCCCAATGGTCAACATTTTTTATGTTTGTTACAATCATTGCTCCCACTTCTTCTCTGTGAATGTTATTCAATATAAGAGTTGGCGAATTGTGGCTGTCATTTGCAATTCTTAAATCTGTTCAGTTATATTTTTCTATTAGAAGAAAAGTGAAAAAAAATGAAAAGCAAAGGCCATGTTTTTATCATGTGGATAAAAGACTAACCTCAGCACCTGCTGTTGCATATACTGGGCATATGAAGAAAATATAAAGAGGCACAATAACAACTTAATAAACGATAATTAAATGTTCAGTCTACCTCAATTACAATTTATCTTCTGTTGCTACTTAAATTCATCCCATATATTTTATTAATTGAACATGTAAATTATGTTTTCTGTGAGTGACTCTTGTCCATGGACGATGTTTATAAATACTGCATTTTTGTCTTGCAGCTCCTGCTAGTTTTTATTTGAGTTAGTTTCAAAAAAAAAGGTTCTTCAGTTACAGATGGTTGTTGACTCCTGTCCTAGAATCTCTCACTCCTCTAGAATCATCCTAAAAGGTAAGAACATTCTTAACTTCCTCTTCAACATCATTATTTACCTCCTCTGCTGTTTTTCTCCGACAAACTTTATTTTTTCATCTGATCTGAGGTGCTTCATCAATTCTAAAGTGAGGACAATAACAAAGCTTGTGATGTCTCCTGTCTAGCTCTACACCCTACTCTAACCTCAGCCTCCACTTGCTGGCTGTTGTCTCCTCTATTTACTCTTATCAAAACCTAGTTTCTGGCAGATGGAGTTTAATTGAGATAAATGTGAAATGCTGCATTTTGGTAGGGCAAATCAGGGCAGAACTTATACATTTAATGGTAAGGTCAGAACAGAAACCTTGGAGTTGCAGGTAGACGGGATAGTGAAAAAGGTGGCCGGTACCCTTAACTTTATTGGTCAGTGCATTGAGTATAGGAATTGGGATGTCATGTTGTGGCTTACAGGATGTTAGTTAGGCCACTTTTGGAATACTGCATTCAATTCTGGAGTGCCTGCTATGGGAAAGATGTTATGAAACTTGAAAGGGTTCAGAAAAGATTTACAAGATGTTACCAGGGTTGGAAGGTTTGAGCTATAGGGAGAAGCTGAATAGACTGGGGCTAATTTCCCTGGAGCGTCGGAGGCTGAGGGGTGACATTATAGAGATTTATAAAATCATGAGGGGCATGGATAGGGTGAATAGTCAAAGTCTTTTCCCTGGGGTAAGGGAGTCCAAAACTAGAGGGCATAGGTTTAAGGTGAGAGGGGAAAGATTTAAAAGGAACTTAAGGGGCAAATTGTTCGTGCAGAGCGTGGTGCATGTATAGAATGAACTGATAGAGGAAATGGTGGAGGCTGGTAAAATTATAACATTTAAAATGCATCTGGATGGGTATATGAATAGGAAGGGTTTAGAGGAATATGTGCCAAATGCTGGCAAATGGGACTGGATTCATTTAGGAATCTGGTCGGCATGGATGTGTCCGAAGGGTCTATTTCCATGCTGTACATCTCTAAGACACTATGACTCTTTATAAACTGGCAGCATAAATTTGAACATCATCAACATCAAAAGCCCTTATTGTACTTTTGAGACTGTCTTCCCACCAGTAAGTCATGGACAGCCAAAGTTTCCGCCAACAGAATCCCAGCAAAACTAATGCTAAGTTTCTCAGTCCTCAACCAAGTTGACTGCACTTTTATTGATTTTGAGCTGACTTTTGTCTGTCATTAAGGTTCTATGTTTCTACCTCTGGGATCTATTTACTCCTGACCCTGTTTCTTCCTCTCTGCTAATGAAATTTTAATTCAGATTTGGAATCTCTAGGACTTCCCAGATGTTGCCTATACCAGCTTGTCTTCTACAAGTTCCGCTTCATTCAGACTTCAGTTCTCAGGCTCCCATGCTTAACAGTGATAACTCCCACACTGTCCAAACTCTGCCCACCCAGTTCACCGGTATCAAGACCTTCATCTTTGCTTTCATGAATGTTCATGATTTTATTCCTTTTTAACTTCTACCACCGTATGTACTATCACTGCACATTGCACCTTGAATAATTTTGTGCTCTTCCTCACCAGCAGTAGCTGCTCACTGCAGTTTGCCTCCCGAAACCGCTTTGCCACATTACTCCTCTCCTCCTTTTATTAGTGCATTAAAAACTTGAATTATGGTTCTGGTTTTCGACTTATTCTTCCCATGCTGGGCTTGGTTTCCCTTTCCTCTTGAAAAATACTGAGATATTTCCTTTCCACGAGGGTGCTAGAAGAATATACATTGTTGTGGTTATAGCTGACAATCTGCACTGTTCGGTATCATTTACCTCAAAGGTTTCACTACAGATGTTCAAAACTGGATTAAATTTTCTACAGGTCAGTGGAAATGATTAAAAAAATGTTTGGAAGATTACTGATCTTACTGCCGTCATTAATAAAAAAAAAACTGTCTGCACAAGTACTATTTTTAGATATAGGATTTAAAGTATGTGTTCATAGTAAAAATGAACAGCAAAGGAAAAAATGGACAGTATTATTAACGTCTCTGTGAGAAAGGCAGGTTGGTAAAGTTACCCAGGGTGAGAGATTACAGAGACAATGTAATGCTGCAAATGGACATGATAAAGTAAACTTAACTGTGAATCCATTATGTTAATATATTCATTTTACTAAAATGCTCCAGTTTAACAGTCAAAGAAATGGGAAAACAACAGATCACTAGCAACACGATTAACATTGAAGTTCTGGTGCTGTACCCTGGAATAAATAAGTATATCTTGAGACAGACATTAAAATACTACTTTGTTTATCTGCGATAAAGCTTAATTTAAATCACTAAAGAACAAGAACTCAGAACGGCTCGAGAATTTCAGTTCCGGAGAAGTGCAAAATCACATTCCTTGATTGTCTTTATAAAACCTTTCCTATAAAGTGAACGTTAGCAGAACTTACTGTCAAGCACAGTGAATGCAGCTGGTTCCTTCTGTATTTCAGATGCTTCAGTGATGTGACACACAGGGCATCGTCTTGGACTTGTCTTTGGCTGACTCAGAGGAACTCAAGACATGATTTAGAGGCAGTTGACGTCAGATCTTTCCTTTCACTTAAAGTGTGCATGGCTTTGGTAAAATGTAATGAACTGCAGACTCCCAAGAACAGTAGAACTTACTGAAAATGTAATTTAAACTGCAAAGCGAAACATGTGATGATTCTAATACAAAAAATTAAAAGCGACTCTAGTCAAATAAGCAAGAACATTATTTGATTAAAATTAAAATACAGGATGATTTTTTTAAAAACTGCAATAAACTACAAATACATTCATCAATGGTAAGGAACTCCACAGAAACAGAATATGAGGCTTTGTGCAAAAATAGTACATAATCCTTAAAGTAGCTCCGCTGTCAAATTAACTGGTTTGGATGAGATTCTGCCAAAATTGTGTACAGAAGTGAATAATAAAAACAATTCTGAATAAATTTGTACCAACAAAAATGCCCACAGTTAAAATTGTTTCATTTTATTTTAGAAGTTAGTAACAGCTAATTCCAGATTTGCAGCATCTGCTATAATCTGCAGCACAATGCAAATTTTCAAGTAAACGTTCCACATTTAGCTGCCTACATAGCTGTTGATGCGATGTCATCCAAGTCTTCTATCTAACTCATCCTTTCCCAGGACCTTATCATGCTTGAAATGCTTTGCCTCCCTAAGCTTTTCCTTCCTTTATATAATCCATAGGCTTTCAAAACTCAAAGTTGAGTGGACATTTTGAACTTACCAGTTTGTAGGGAAGTTAATGGGATCCTGCTGAATGTTGGTTTTACAACATAAATACTTTGGAATGGATTCTTCTCTTTAAATGTTTAGTCGGAGCTATATTTAGTGTCAGGTCTTATATTAATGCTTAAACTATTTTTAAAATTAGAAGCTCATAAATTGTCCAAAAGAGAATAGGCTGAATGCTGGGGACAGTGAGAGAAGTGAGATCTCTATTCAGGATCATATATTATCCTTACATAGCAAAAAATAGTTCTTGTTGATATTAATTGTTTCTTACAAGTCTGGTAAATAATGTTACATTTACAGAGCCTTGCGTACAGATGACTTTTATTCATTCGTGGAATATGGACTCAGTGGCAACAATAGCATGGATTACCCATCCCTAATTGTCCTTGAGAAACTGCTGGAGAGCTGCCTTTTTAAACTATTGCAATCCATGGGGTGTAGGGACGGCACAGTGCTGTTAGGGAGGGAGTTCTAGGATTTTGACCCACTAATACTGAAGGAACTGCAATATATTTCCAATAAAGTTGCTGTGTGGCTTGGAGGAGTTAGTGGTGTTCTCAAGCATTCGCTGCCCTTGTGCATCTCGATTAACGTGACCCATATACAGAAGAAAATTTCCAGAAAAGGGCAGAAGGTGTCTAATTCTCTCAGAAACTTGATGGTTTAATGAATATTTTGGGAATGCTGGTGGGATGGAAGTTGGGAGTAAGCTGCTTGACTCACCTACATTTACTGTAATGAGTTGCTGATTTGATGTTATTAGCTTGGATTCATTCTGAATCAATGTGGACGACACAATAGGGTAGCTGGAGATCAACAGAGACATCTTCATCTCGGATTATTCACTGCTTCCACTAGTTTCTCTTTATTTGATGATACATGTCAGTTTATCTGTTCCTGTGACATTTAAACTAGCTGCTTCCTTTTTCAATTTGATGCCAAAGCCGAGGGGAACATAGATATAGACAGATTTGACACAGGGCTGTATGACTCTATGATTATATAAACAGCTAAGTCCAGTTATCCACAATGTCACTTTAAACAATGTATCATCTATACAGGGAAGCAGCGTGGGTTGGGGACCATTCCCATTCCCTAATAACAGGGCATCAGAGCAATTATGTTGAAAAGAGTCAGTTTCTGAAGTCAGGTTCTTATACGCATGAAGTTTATGACCTCCAAAACTCACCCTGAAGAAGGAATCTTTATTATTTACTTCTTGGTTTAGTATGAGTGAACATGCTACCGAATTAGTTAGAAAGGTTAACGTCCCCTGTGCAACTCATAGGGTTCAGTTAGAAAGAATACATCTAAACAGGGTAGAGCATTGACATAAATTTTGTTTAAAATACATTCATTTCTGAGCGTTACATTTGAAATCATTAAATTCAGATTCAGACACCATAAACTGCTACATCGTAATTGACTGATCCACTCTGCAGACTGAGCGAACACTTAGTGCTTTTAAGGAAGGGAATGATAGTTATAAGGCAGAAAAGTCAAGTAAGATAATCATACGATTAATTATCACCTAATCCACCATTGGAGTAGTTTGCTTTTTATTGCCCATGAGTGCGCATTCTTTGTCAGACTTATTCACAATCCCCTCCCCTAGGAGACAAGCTCACTTGTGTCAGCTAGCTTGATGGAGGTTGAAATACAACTGCCATAGATTGTTGCTGGAAATGAGCCATAATCTTTCAGTTTATTCTTAGCCATCTTTGTTTCCAGAAAACTTTACTAACAAAGGAAACAAGCTGAACTTCATGGGGAATATTAGATAGAAAAGACACAGTCCTGCTATGCATGAGAAAGAGTAAGTTGTAAGTTGTGTAATACGCAGCGTTTGTTGTGGGTCAGATATCCAACTGTTGGAGAACACTGGTTATATATTAATTATAGTTCTTGGCTTCCTAGTTATACAAATGGATTCCATCCACTATTTACCCTGCAAAGATTTAATTGTCGTATTTAGTTTAATCTTGCCAGGGTATGTTTTACACTTACTTATTTGAGAAGTGGCTTAGCAGACCTGAGGAGGGTCTTTAATTGCAGGCTGCAATCTATGCAGGGCTGGCAACAAACTGAGTACTGATAGCAGCATTGAGAATCTCGTTAAGGAAGAAGTCATTGCTTATTTTCATTGGCAGGAGTTTCTTCACATTAGAGCCAGCAAGTATTTTGCAACATTTTCCCTGAAACCTCCTGGCTCAATTTCTCAGGTCTCCTGGTTCAAACGTCAGGTGCTAAGACTCATTGGTATGCCTTCAAGCTCACTTGAGTCCGGATAATAACTTTTGCTATAATATAAATATTTTAACTGAAATTTAGAAAATGTTTTCTTTGATAAAGTAAACACAAAATGGTCCTTTGAGAACTCAACAAAATCAATAGGACGGTATCTGAATAATCTCCAGAATACTTGGATAATTCCATCCTGTTCCAGTTGTGAGGCTAACATGGTGATTACATTTTTAAACAGCATCATGTTGATTATTGGACCATTATTGTTTGGAACTATAGCTCTGAATATAAGGCAACTGAAAATAGTAATAGGACCACTGCTGCAGTCTGTCTGATAGGAAACTTGGGTGGTTTGATTGTTAAAGACCAAAAGAAGACTCACATTTTTAGAGAGAAGTAAAGACAAGACATTTAAATTTGTGGACAATATTAGCTGTTTCTAAATCTGCTCTGGACACCCCCTGAGTCTCCCAAGGTTCCAGAGAGACATTGTCAACATCACTCCCTTCCACAGCCTCATCTTATTCCTTCGTGACTGGGTCTGAAGAAAGGTCTCTGGATCTGATATGCACACCACTCTCCGTATGTTCAGCTTTCTCTGCACAGATGCTGCCAGTTCTGCTGAGCTTTTTCAGCAATTTTTGTTATTTTTTTCTGATTTCCATCATCTGTACTTCTTGGATTTTGTGTTTATTGTCAACATTATGTTATAAATGGATGTGATGGAAACTATACCTTTACTTAGAAGATGAAAAAAAACCCATTAGGATCAAAGATAACTGATTAATATTTTTATTTAGAAACAATCTTTCCCATTGCGTTCGAAAAGAGCATGGAGGAAGTCATTTTGAGATCAGGTTAAAGGCTTCCCTATAAATCCAGAAGTATCACAGACAGAAGGGAGATGCAGTTTTGACTTGGGTGGTCTGCAACTAACTGGGAGGAACAGAATAAAAGATCCAGTCCTGTAACTGGAGCAGAGAAAATGCAGCCTGGACTATTCACCATGAAGAACAGAGTTGAGGTCTCACTCTCAGTTGATGACCTGAGGAGTTAAAGCATTCTGGAAGATTTGATTAACTTGGAGCTAGAGAAGAAATTTCTCAGAGTAACCCCCACAGTGAGAGATAGTTCTGGCATTAAG